TGAGACTCTGCTCTGTGGATCCCAAGAAAGTTGACTAGACCTCCTAAAGAACTGTATATTTCCATTCTGGTCTGTCTTAGGACTAGCTGAAGGATTGATCTATGTTACTCAGAACTCACCAAGGACAGAAAAGCGGGCAAATAATCCTTTAAAAACATTATAAAACAAACAATCTGCAGCCACTTCCAGGAAAAGATTATGTTCCTGCTGAAAATTTAGCAGGAAAAACTGAAGACAGAGGGAAATTAGGGCATTCATTACCTCCCAGGCTAGGAGGAAATAAATATGGCAGGGTTGAGGAAGGGTGTGTTTTCCAGCTGCCCCATGGCTAGGGAATCTAGCAGCGGAGATACTGCTCACCAAGTTTCAGTACCAGAATTGCAGAGGCCCAGAAATTCGGTCACACCAGGGACGACCAGAGGGGAGGGGAGGGGCGACCCAGGCTAAAATAGAGAAAAATCTACAAAGTATTTGGCGTGGGGATAGCCAAGGAACAGAGAGGCAGTCTGGTCTTAAATGATCCAGAGGCAGCACAGTGAGCTGGTGTGTAAAAGTGTTCCACTGGCAAGAGGAGAGCAGAGGCAGCAGGCCACCTGGAAATGGCCACCCAGGGACCCTCTGCTGCGGGGGAGCCCCTGGGGTTCATATTAAGACTGTCCCTGCACGTACCTGTCGTGAGATCTAGAGTGCTTCTGGAAGAGTGAGGTGTGATTGAAACAGGCACAGGAAAATTGCACCCAAGTGGACTCAGGCCTAGGAAAGGAACAGAGTATGCCTGGCGGTGTGCAGGTGGTTCGCGGGATTAGCCTGAGAGAACTCGGAAACTGGACCAGTGGCTACTTTTGCACTCAGCTCTGATCCTGGTGTGAGATACAGGACCATTTTCAAAATATGCCATCTGACAGCCTCAATTGGAAGGTAAGGTCCAATCCTAGCCATCTACAGACTCAATGCAATCCCCATCAATATACCAATGACATTCTTCACAGAGCTAGGCAAAACAGCCCAGAAATGTAGATGGAGGAGTTAAAGACCCAGAATACCCCAGCAATCCTGAGCAGCAAGAATGAGCCTCGGGCCATAGCAATACCTGATCTTAAATTACACTCTACAGATATAGGAGCAAAAACCAGCATGGTACTGGCATAAAACCATAAAGGAAGACCAGTGGAACAGAGTAGAAAAGACAAAGAAGCCACATGAATACAGCCATCTGGTCCTTGACAAAGGTGCGGAAAGCACACCTGGATAGACTTTTGAACAAACGGTGCTGGGAACACTGCATGTCCATATATTTTATTCAGGTTTTCTTTACTGCTGTGAGCAACAGACCTGACTGGAACAATTTTAAGGAGGAAAACTTTATTTTCGGGCTCACAGTTTCAGAGGTCTCAGTCCAGTGACAGCCGGCTCCATTCCTTGGGACTCAAGGTGAGGCAGAACATCATGGCAGAAGTGTGTAGTGGAGAAAAGCAGCTCAGGGCATGATCAGCAAGCAGAGAGAGGCTAAGCTCAGCCCAAGAAATATACACCAAAGGTACATCACCCCCCAGCGACCCATCTCCTCCAGCCACACCCTACCTGCCTAGTGACCTCTCAGTTAATCCCTATCAGGGTATTAACACACCAATTGGGTTATGGCTCTCATCACCCAAACATTTCAGCCCTACTCCTTGCATTGTTTCACACATGAGCTTTTGGGGGTCACCTTATATGTAAACCATAACAGCACGGGTAGAAGAATGGATCCTAGAACCCTACCTACCAGCCTCCACAAAAATCAACTCAAGGTGGATCAAATTCCTAGGAGTTAGACTAGAAACAGTGAACCTGCTGGTAAAAACGTAGGGGCAACTCTCCAACATATTGGTGGAGGCACCAACTTCCTTAGTAAGGCTCCTAAAACCCAAGAAATAAAATCAAGAATCAATAAGTGGGACGGCATAAAATTAAGGAGCTTCTGCACAGCAAAGGAAAGAAGAACCCAAAGAGAGAGCCTGGAGATTGGGAGAAAGTCTTTGCCCACTACTCTTCTGACAGGAAGTTGATTAAAAAGAATATATGAAGAAAACAAACAGTCAGAAAAACTTTACAGCAAAACAGCTAATAACCCTCTCAATAAAATGGGCAAAACATCTAAATAGACATTTCTGAAAAGAAGAAATACAAACAGCGATCAGTATATGAAACAATGCTCAACATCCTTAACAATCTGGGAGATGGGAATCAGGGTGGCCCTGAGATTTCATCTTCCCCCAATTAGAATGGCAATCATCAAGAATACAAATAATGATAATTGCTGGTGAAGATGTAGAGGAAATGGTATGTTTGTCCGTTGTTGGTGGGATTCAAATGAGTATGACCACTTGGGAAAGAAACATGGATTCCCTCAAAAGACTAGAAATGGAGCCCCCATATGACCCAGCTATCCCACCCATGGGTATGTCTCCCAAAGAACAAAAATCTGCCTACTATAGTGATACTTCCTCACTTTCATGTACTGGATACACAGTTCACACTGCATTCCTGCATCCCCTGACCAATTCCCAGATTATTCCCTTCACTAACTTTCTTGTGCATGTGTCTTTGTGCACCACACATAACCAGCTTTTCTCCAGACGATGTGCCCAGCCCTTGCTGAACTTAGCTCTGAGTCTGTTTCCTTTCCTTAGTAAGGTGGCAACTGTGGTCTCCTAAACCTAGGACTGTCCTGTGAGGATGAGTTAATATTTATCTACAGTGCTAAGGAGAGGGCTGGCACAGAGTGAAAGTTCGGGAATTTGCACCCTGCTCATTCTGCTCAATTAGCTTCCCTATTGGCTGGCCCCTCCCCACCCCCTCACACAACCTACACCCCCAGTGGATGTCAAAAACACCAGTTTGTTCACAACCTCTTCCACCCATGGTTTGCATGTTCTTTCACTGTTGTAAACGTGGTCTACGAAAATTGATTCATGATTTTAGTTTGTATCTTTAGGATCAGTGATGTTGAACATCTCTTGGGGCATCTTTGACATAGGGATCCCCATTACTACACATTAACTAGTGTGGGGAGTAGGATAGGTTCTGATAGAGTGGGCAAACAACATACTGCTACTAAAGTACCCTGGGCATGCATCCATGTGCTATTTTGATTGCCTATGGAAATCCAGCCATAGTGGGAGATCCCACACATTGCAAGTCACAAAACACCTGCTCTATGACCTTCATTAAAAAAAAAAAAAGTAGTACAAGGAGCACTGACCATTGACTATGGATCTCCTCACCCACTGTCCTTTTGGTCTGGAGGTATTGCTGGGGAACAGGGATTTGCAAATTCTTCCTGTGCTGGGTGCTCCATACCCGTCTTTATATTGAACCCTGATCCAGGCAATATTATTTCCCCCACTGTACAGATGGGAAACTGGGGCTCCGAGGTGAGGCCCTCATCGGAAAGGAGGCTGTCAGCCAGAATGCGTGGGTCGGGAATGTGGGCAAGAGCGCACCCACAAGGCAACTCCGCTGCTGGGACTGGCTTGGAAACGGCCAGTAGAACCAGAAACTTCCCAGCAGTCCAAGCACCCAGGTCCCTACTGTTGATGACCCAATAAGGGGCGTGGCGGTTGGCAGGGGGGAGGGGCCGGGCCAATGAGAAGGCCGCGATGCCGGTATCGAAGAGGCGTGAAACCACGCGATGTTTGTGGTATCTCATGTGTCTTCTGTGGTGACCGCGTTCGCGAAGGCCTAACTGTTCTCGCTCGGACGGGGGCGATCCTCTGTCTTCGACCCTGGCTGCCAGGCCTGCCCGACATGAGCTCAATCGACGAGGCTTCGGTTCAGGAAGACGGTTTTGGCCTGGACGGTGTGAAGCGCACCATCGTCACCAGTGCAGGCCCCAGAGCCCCACGGGTACCGGGCCTGGGCCTTGAGCTGGGGCCACCGCGGAGTGGGGAGGGCGAGGGCGGCCTCCCAGACCCCGAGGGCTATGAGTTCGAGTTGGAGGCCCAGGGGGAACAGCTAGAGGCAGGAGGGGCGGTGCTGCGGGTCGGCGAAGGCAGGCCTGGCTCCATGGCTGATAAGAAGGGGGATGTCCTGGACTTCGTGCCCCACCTCGCTGTGGAGTCTGTGGCCAGCGTGCAGCAGCTGACAGGCCAGGAGACCCCGGGCGCCCACAGATACCTGTCCCCGGAGAGCTGGGTGGCTGAACTGTCCGCCATTTGGGCTAACGCAGAGGCGGGCCCCAGCCGGAGATGGGCGCTGGCCCCAGGTTCCTTGGAAACACTGCAGGCCCCATCTGCTGCCCCTCTGCGTCACCCCAGTGGGCCTCAGGTGGGACGGGCCTGGGGGAACCCCGGGAGAGGCACCAAAACTAGGATGATGGGCAGTGGGGAAGCCCAGTTGCCCCCTTCTGATCCTGAGTCTTCAGATGAATTCACTGAGATACAGCTGGTGAGGGTGAGCCTTTGCCCGAAAGAAGGAGGCCAGACCAGTTCCAGCAGCCCCAGGGAACCGGGAGACACAGCCAACTGCGCCTGTGTAGGGACCAGAGGGAATTTCCTTCAAATACCTACCTCTCTGCCGACCTCTGCTCCCGGCCGACTCACCTCTGCCATGGAAAGGCAGGCCTTGGGAGAGCTGGCATCCTGTTCCTCCAAGAAAAGGCAAAGCGTGATCTGGGGCAAGGGAGGGAGCAGGCCCAGCTACCCTGGAGCAGCAGCTGCTGCTGTTGCTGCTGCTGCTGCTCCTGCTCCTCTTCCTCCTCCTCCACCTCCTCCTCCTCATCCTCCTCCTCCTCCTCCTGCTACTTGTGCTTGTGCTTCAGGAGGCCTGCCCAGGGCCACTCCTAGGAAGAAGGCCATCCAGGAGAAGAAATCCCTGGGGGGTGGCTCAAAATTTAGCCTGGGC